GAGGTACTTCATGACATCAAGTGATCCTTCACTAGCTGCATCATGTAGAATAGTATTTCCATAATCATCAGGAGTCATTATATCCCAGTTACACTCATTAATGAGGTACTTTACAACATCTATGTGTTTAACAGCAAGATGAAGAACAGTCCAACCATGTTTATCCATTACATGACCATTGATGTTCATGACCATACACTTCAAGACATCAAGTAATCCTTCACTAGCTACATAATGAAGAACAGGGACACTGCTGCCATAGCCATACCCAGTAATACCCGGCATCATTGGATCACAGCCACATTCTTTAATAAGATACTCAACTATATCAACGTGATTACCTTTAGCAGCAGTATAAAGACAGGATTCACCAGAATAGTATTTATGTGGATCAAAGCGGTAGTTAGTGATAAGATCTCTTATAACATCTAACCAGCCATTACTTATAGAATAATAAAGCAGGCCAAGCTCATCCCGGTGAAGTACTTCAGGATCTTGTAAACGTAGTAACCGAACAGCTTCTTCATGATCTCTTCTTAGAAATGCATCCCGACATTGTTGTCCTGCCATTAGCAAGGGAATGTATGAAGAGCTTGGAGAAAGAGAGAGAAAGAAAGTCGGGAGAAGTCACTCTCGCTTAAAGCAGAAAAAGAACGCACTAGTCATGTGACTTATATCCCAGAGTAACGAATCATGATTAAAATTAGTGTGCCATTCACATGACACATCATTTTTATTTATTTCATAGATCTAGTAAAACAAAATAACACACTTCCTTGAAAGACACAGACAAAAAGGAAATAAAGAATACAAGAGAAGAAATCCCCCAATCAATAGATTCATTCATTGAATACAGTTACAGTCTCCACATATCAACCTCATTCATAGGTCCTGTATCAGTAGTAGCCTCACTGTTCCCTGTACATTAGTAAGAGCTTCAGTAGCATAGTCCTTAGTTACATTATGTATTATTAAATCATTAACTGCTACCAGTTCTGTAACAGACGCTCCTACCTATCTGTTCACCAAACTTTATTCTTAATCAACACGAAACTCATAACTAATACACAACCAAAAACTAACAAAACTAACAAACTACACACTTATATAGATCTTATAAATGTCCAGAAGGTTCTATAACATACAAGAATACTTTACATGATTGTTCTAGAATATACTTGAATAAACACATAATATATAATTACAATAGTACACAGAGAGTTCCGGATCCATTTAGAAACAACTTCTTACATTTCCTCCCTTCCCCTCTGGCACGAAGTGCTCTTCCTCTCCAATCTAGAAAGTGCATCTGCATTTGCATTTGCTACCCCTTTCCGATGTTGTATAGTGAAATTATATGGTTGCAGAATCAAACTCCATCTAGTCAATCTTGCATTCTTCTCTTTAAACTTGTGTAGCCATTGAAGAGCTCTATGATCCGTTTGAATAATAAAAGATCTCCCTATGAGATATGCACTGAAATGCTTGATGGCTAGAATAATAGCTAAGCACTCTTTTTCGACTGTCGAGTATGCTTGTTCTCTCGGGAGTAGCTTTTTA